GTGCTCATCCACCTCCCAACTTTTCTTCCCTGCTGACTCTCCTCTGCTGCTTTCGAAGCATGCCAGCCCTACATGAGGCAGCCCTGGGGCAAGAGAGAAAGTGGACTGTGCTGCATTAATCAAATGCAGGTGGGAATTATTCTACATGCATTTTACCTATATGCCTATATCCTGAATATGTGCTGTATTTCATTGCAAGCAATTAAGAGCAGTGAAACACAAATATACTACCCATACAGGAATCTGGAAGCCTCTTGCAGGAATGTGGCTGACAGACGATAGAGTACTCCAGGGATGGGATGAACAGAAGCATACAGAGCCAGTGGACACTGCCACTTCCCACCCACCCAGCATCCTGCCCTGCACCTGGTGACAGCTGGGAGATAAGCCCCCATGCCAAACTTGTGATGCTCCCAGCCATGCAGTGAGGATCATGCAAAGACAGGACCCTGCTGGCTACTCACCGCCTTACAGGCAGCATTCTTGCAGCTGGTGCCAGCTCTCACCTGGGCAGCCACCTCCCCTGTGAGAACAACATAGCTTCACTCTGGGGCAAGTGCTGTATGCACCTGCCTCCAAACTCTCCCAATGGCCCTGTTGTCAGCTCCTCAGCTTGGCACACACAGCCCCTAAGCACAGCCCATTGCAATGCCCCTCCAAGACACAGCTCTGTGGGGTTACATGTGGCTGAGTATGCAGCACTTGCCATCCTGCACTGAACCTGCCACGCAAAACCCCATGAAGAATGTGCACCTCCACTGCCATCCATCAGCTCATTACTACCTGTGCAACTGCCCTCAGGTGCCTTGTCATTGGAGGACAGGTTCAGTTTCTCCAGTGACTGCTCCAGAGACCTGGATACTTTAATTGGCAGCAGTTGTCTTGGTTCATCAGAGCTGGGAAAGAGCAATAAAGGCTGAGTGGATTGTGGGGTGTTTTTTCAATTTAAATGTCATTGCCTCTCCTGAGGAAGCTGCAGGGCAGGACACATGCAGAGGAAATACACAACAGGGCAACATTCTTAGCTGAACTCTTCTCACCTTGGTCTTTCCTGCTGCATCTTCTCAGCTGATTTGTGTCCTCGGATGATGAGGTCCTCCACTAGTTTGTTCTTCAACTTGTCTGAGGTCTTCTCTTGACTGAAAGGCTCAGGGGTCTTCTCCTTGCTATGAAACCCTTTTGTGCAACCCTGAGCAGCAGAGGCAAGCCTGAGGCCTGCTTTGCCCTCCCTACCCTGGCAGCTGCTCCAAAACCCTGTGAGCTGCCATGCTCTGGTGGCTCTGTGTCCTGCAGGGACGGGCTCTGACCCAGCACCAGGGCAGGGGCTGCATCTGCAGGGATTTCCAGGGACAAGACACTGTGACAGCATCACCAGGGCTATGGCAGACAGGTTTCAATTCCATTGCATCCCAGTCTGGCAGCAAGAGTCTCCCACACATCCCTGGGCCTCTGCTCAGACATTCACAGCTGTTCTGCTGGTTGAGGCATTAGTGTTCATCCCATAGGATCCTGGTGGGGGACACCAGGCCTTTCTGGCACCCTTCTCTGGGAGCACTGGCCCCACACTTCAGGAGCAGCATCCTTGCTTGCATGCTCCTTGGAAGCAGATAGAAAATTCCCATCTGTCAGGGGAAAGGGGGCAACCTTGGTGCAGGATGCAGATGAGTGTATTGGGTTTGCCTGGCTGGATTTAGGTGGCAGGGGGCTGTAGGGGTGGCTTCTTCAAGAAACTGCTACAAGTTTCCCCTAGGTCCTATAGAGCCAATGCCAGCCAGCTTCAAAGATGGACCCACCGCTGGCCAAGGCTGAAACTGTCAGTAATGACAGGATAGGAGCGCCTCTGTGAAAACATATTTAAGAAACGCCACACAGCAACTGGCAGAGAGAGAGAGGAGCGAGAATATACGAAGACACCAAGGTCAGTGAAGAAGCGGTGGGAAGAGGTGAAGCAGGCTGTCCCCCTGCAGCCCATGGAGGACCCCACGCCAAAGTAGGTGGGTGCCTGAAGGGGGCTGTAGTCCCATGAGAAGCCCGTGCTGGAGCGGGTTGCTGCCAGCCCCAGTAGCCCGTGGAGAGAGAGAAGCCCATGCCAGAGCAGATTGGGTGGCAGGACTTTTGTAATGCCACAGTGGACTCACACTGGAGCAGTTTCCCCCGGAAGGATTGCACCCCATGAAGAGACTCATGTTGGGGCAGTTTGTGAAGAACTATCTCTCTTGAGAGGACTCACATCGGAAAAAGGTGTGTAAAGATCGTCTCCCATGAAAGGGATCCCACAATAGCCCAGGGGAATCGTGAGGAGTCCTCCCCCAGAGGAAGAAGGAGCGCTGGAGAAAACATCAGACGAACTAACCACAACCCCCATTCCCTGTCCCCCTGTGCCATTTGAGGGGAGGAGGTGGATAAATTGGGATTGGTGTTAAGCCTGGGAAGAAGGGAGGGATGGGAGGAAGGTGTTATTTATTTTTAAAATTTGGTTTTATTTCTCCCTACTCTTTTCTGATTTGTTCTTTCATAAATTTAGATAATTTCCCCCAAATCAAGTCTGTTTTGCCCAGGATGGTTGATGCAGGTGATCTCCCTGTCCTTATCTCAAACCATAGGCCCTTCCTTATATTTTCTCCCCCTGTCTGGCAGAGAAGGGGGAGGTGATAGAGGAGCTGCATGGGCAGCTGGCCACTGGCCAGCGTCAAACCACTACAATGCGACAGGACAAGACAGGGCAAGGACAAGGAGGAGAAGATGGAGGAGCAGCGGGTGCACTTGGGCTGGCAGGTCACTCACCTTTATGGAGAGGAACTCAGAGAAGTCTGTTGTGCGTTTCTTGCAACAAGACCAGCCCTAGGCACCATGAGATAAGATACTGGTCAGCTACGGGCAGGTCCTTCCCTGCAACTCCAGCCCCAGCTTCTGCCCCACTCACCTTCAGGGCATCATGGAAGATGGGGAAGCCCGGGTGATAAAGGCAGGAATCTGAAAAGGGAAAATTAGGCAGAACTCTTTAGGAGGAACAATCCTGCCCATAAGGCACCCATGACACGCAGCAGCTCCTGAGCCAGCTTCTGCCGTGAGGGCTGCCTATGCTGGGCTTGGCTCAAATCTGCTTGGCAGCTCAGGCCGTGGCATGGCGTCTGAGGCCACAGACTGGGAAAGTAACATGCATTCACACATCTCCACTTGGCAGATGAGCCCACTTACCCTTGACATTGTGCTCAGGATCAAACCTCTGCCCGCAGCCCTTGTTGTAGCACAGTGACGCCATAGCTCAGGTGTAGTTGTGCTGTCTTACTCTTTCCACAAAAATCCCATCTATCTCATCCTTGCCTGTGATCACCCCTCTGCTTCTCCGCAGTTTGCAGTTCAGGAGCTGGGAGGTGACTTTGCCTATTTTTGGAGACAGCTGGAGGAGGTGGCTGGTAACTCGAGAGCAGGCTAAAGATGGACATAGCAGCTCAGCAGCTGACAGGACCTAGTCCCTATGTTATCTCGAGAGGCATTTCTGTCCTGCTGCTGCATTCAGCAGAAGGAACGGCTTCTGCAGGGTGACTCCACACCTGGGGTAGGCAAAGGACCTCCTAGCACCTGCTATCCTGCTAGTGTGTGGCTGGGACACATCAGCATCACCCTCATGTTCACATTCAGCTCTGGGCAACCTGTGATTCCTCTTGACCAACTGCTATTTCTTTAGCATTTATAGAAGCAGAGGAAAGTTTTGTTAAAAAGAAGGGAAGAGATTTTCCAGAGTCCCCGGATTTCTCGTCCCAAATTGTACTTAGTCGGGCTGCAATGATCCCAGAGGTGAAATTAAGACCCAAACAAGGTCAGTGTTGTATTTTCCTTTGAGTGTTTATTCTCCAAGTGCAGAAAAAAGAGGGGGGAGGGCTAGAAAGAGAAAGGCAAAAGAAGAAGAAGAAACCAGTACCACCACAGAGTCCAGCGGCATCCCGCAGGTCCGACATCATTGATGGGAGAATATTCCAACCAGGTACTGGTCTGCATTTCTTTTATTCCCGCTGTCCCCACCTTTTCTCCACCTTTTCACAGGAACTGATTTACATTTTCTTGGAATTTCTTTGCATAAACTCCTCCTCACAGTCACCTGTACTGCACATGCAGTCCCCTTTTTCGGGGGGTCCTCTTCAAGTTGCCTTCCTCAGTATGACTGCTGGTAACCCCCACTGCACGTGCATGCATCTTTGGTTGTTGGTTATATAATTTTGGGAGTCTGGCACTCGACCTTGGAGGTTCCATATTCTCTGGCAAAATGTTGCAAAAGACCTACTGACCAAGCCATCTTCAAGGCCTCGCAGGTGTTAGTCACTACTAACGTTGCAAAGAGGTGGTTAATTACTACAGCAGCAGTTTGTTGTGATGAGCCTTGCAGTTTCAATCTATGCATCTTTGCAATGTTGAGACAACCTTTTCTTTCTTTGAGTCCTACACAGGGCAAAACTTGTGCTGATTTCCCCAGCCCCAAAAGGCATGACTGTACATTAGACAGAGGCATCAGTGGACAAAAGCAGCGCATGTGGCCAAGACATCCTTCAGTGCAGGGTCCTGTTTAATCCAGGGATGAAATCTGCCCCCTGGATGATCATTGTCATCAGAGAAGAAAAGTGAAAATTGTTACATAGGGCCCCCATACCCAGGAAGGGTTTGCCTGGACTCCCTACTCTCACTCTGGGAGTCAAGGGTTTCTCTCTACAAACAAGAAACCCTCTTGAAATCAAAGGTTTTACTTAGTTCCTCCAAGCATCTTCTTGTTCCCATTTACAGATATTGGGTGCTGCCTCGACCTGACAGAGCACACAACACCTTGAGAGTGTTTCTGCTCAGGAATTGGGTTCGATGTAAGCCCTTGGCACTCTCAGACAGTGTAAAGGGCAGGTCCTTGCAGACAACAGCTGCCCAAGCAGTCTGCTTCGGAGGAGAATCCACAGGGTCCACCATGGCTGATGTAAACCCATCCCTGTCCTACAATGTTTATTTAACCTAGTTAATCCCCTTAAAACATCCTGCAGGATCTGCTGCCACCCCAAGGGGATCTCCAAAGTCCAGAGTTAGGATGACCCCTTGCCGAAATTTTGGAGCTCACCAGGGAGACTCTAAGCTCATGCTTCAAAAATTAGGAAAAAGAGGAGATGAGGTTCAGGTGATGGCAAAGAGCATGCTGGACTGCACATCCATCACATGGCATCCAGTCTGAAGCTGTGGCTTCTGGCAGTTGCATTTGTGCCACAGGTCTGCATTGCTGAATCCACCCTTCTGGGGCAGAGATCCAAGCAAAGAAGAATTGCTGTATAAGCTGGCCAAGCAGGGACACTTGTGACCAGCACCTTTGAAACAGCTTGCAAGGAATGGACCAGCTAAGAATTAAAAATAAAGCCTGTTTGGTTTATGTGCACTGACATATAACAGAAGTAAAAGCAGGTAGAAAAAAAAGGACCAAATGATTCTCAAACCCAACTTAAGGTGCTTGCACTTGAACAATCAGGGTCAGTGTAAAATAGCCCCCCAGAGCTCTGGGGAGAACGTGTTAGATGCCTCCAGGGAGAGAAACCCAGTTCACATCTGACCCTTTAATTTGGGATGTTCTGTGGAGCCCGGGGCAGCAGGAAGGGAGTGCATTTCTACAGCATGGACTAGTTCCTCCACACAAAAAGCTGGTTAGGAGAAGGAAAATGCCAGACATACATATTACTGCTACACAAAGCTAGTAGGCAGGATTCATGCTTTAGTTATTTGGGAAACAAAATCCCCCCTGTAAGAATATGTGCTGAGCAATTCTACAGCAGAAGTTCTGCCTGGCCACTCCTCACAGCACTGCTCAGGGGTTATGTTTCTGCTGCTGTCCAAGAGTCTGCACTGATTGTACTCAGTATGTCAGAGAATAGGTTTGAAAAAGACCAAGAAACCGTCAGAGATGGAGATGTGGGCAATCATCATCTCTCCATTCAAGAACACTGCCCTTCTACAGCTTGGGTTACATTCTGGTCTCACTGAAAAATTACACCTTCAAACAGTGATCAGTTGTTCAGCTGATGGGAATTTTGTCATACAGTTCAGGCAGTGTCTTGATCCCAAAGAAAATTTAATTTCCTCAGAAATGAGCTGCTAAAGGAGCCCATTTACTCCAGTGCTCACTCTGACAATGCATGCAATATTCCTCATCAAAAAGTGCACTTTGGTCTGCAACAGGAACCAGTCCAAAAAGAAAGTAGTTTAGTCTACTCCTAAGACTCAGTTTTCTCATCATCAGCTGGTATCCATAATAGAAACCTGCCCCCCCAAACCAGTCTGAAAGGGTGGAGAATGGGGGGGTTTACAGGTTTTCTTTTGGAGGGTCCTGTTGCCTTAAAGCACGGACACTCTGAGCTCAGGTCAAGTAGAGAAACCAGGCTGCAGTGAGGGAGGGTCCCAAAGGCAGTGCTGTGCCTGGCTGAGCTCCCTGCTTTCTTCCTCTCCTTTTGGCTACCTCTGGCACGCAGGTGAAATCACCATGAAGACAAGCAGGTACTCAAGCCATGATCAAGACAGAAAAGGGAATGCCACAGGAAATCACTTCCTTCTTTCAGCTCCCAGACGTAGCTACCTAAAGTAATTTAGCATATTCCACCACTTGTAGATTTTTATGAGAAATGACAGCTTCTAGTGGGATGCACTGTGACAGAAAAAAATGCTTGTCTGCTGCTTTGATGTGACAAAATTATCTGCTACAAGTCAGACTTTTAAGATTTATCTTTGATTCTTGCAACTAGTGAATATCTGCAGGCCATGTTCCAGACACAACCCCCAAGAACACGTGCATCCTTTCCACAGGGCAACAAAAATCCTAATTAGCATTCTTGGCAACTTGAGATTGTGTAATATTTAGCTATCCTAGCAAATGTGCCAGGTGAAAAACATCACCAAACTCTTCATACTGTACCTACAGGTAAGTCACAATCCCACTGATAATCACCATTAAATTCTGTATTGCCTCAGCAAGCTAGCTACTAGTGCTGATGATTTCAAATGTGGAAAACAAAATAAGCAAAAGAAAAATTAAAGAGCATCAGCTGCAGTCTCTCTTCAACTGAGCTTTTCATCAATTATCCCATTCTGCGCTAATTACAAGCCATCAAATGACAGGGGTAAATAAAAACATCCAGAATGATTATTTCATCTTTCCC